CTGCGTTCACGTGGGGTGGGGGTGAAAAAGAGAGTGACAGAAACGGGGGAATCCTCTGTTCCGTGCCATTACAAGGGGAACTGAGAAAGAGATGGATATGCTAAAGGGTAAGAGAGAGAGAAAGAGAGAGAGAGCGAGAGAGAGAGAGAGAGAGAGAGAGAGAAGGAGACAAGTGAGATCGAGAAAGAGAGAAGATAGGAGTTTGTGAGATGGAAAGAAAAGAATAAAAAAGCGGAAACATGGTTTGTTATGTGGTAAAGAAGGATGGAGATAGAAAGAGGATATTGTCGAATGACGGAGAGAAAAGATCGAGGGGATGAGGCGGAGTATATTTATAGGGAGGAAAGTGAATCGAAGAAGGAAAAAGAATGCAGGATGAAGAGTGATACACATAGAGAGAGGGATCCGGAAGGTGGAAGAAGGGAGAGAGGTCGAAAACTCCGCCCCTGCATCCGCAAAAGCGAGTCAATACTATGACCGTCCATCCTTTCTCCTCCGAATGCCCTCTCGGTAACCCGCGCGCCGCCTTTCCAACCCCTTTCTCTCTTTGTGCTGGAGCCATCGGGATATCGAAATTCGTTACGTGCCGTAGCGCGAGGACGCTCGACTTGAAAGTTCCCGGCATCACGAAGCAAACGCGTGTTTTAGGAATTGATTCGGATATGGAGCGAGCGGAATTCAATTCTAAAACGGTTTCCTGTGAGTACCACTCTGCACATTTCCATGTAATACGTGCGTTTTCTATTGCTCTTACAGTTTCGTTTCAATTTATTTGTTGTCTTTAATCGAATGCGTTGTCCTCGAAATTTTCTTTTCTATTTACTTATATGATAAAGAAAAACTGAGATAAATACATTAAGAAAAAAAAAATGTAGTAATAGAAAATAAAATTTTTGTTTTTTACAGTTACTCTAACCTGTGGACCATTTAAGTAGAGATCAAACTTATTCGACGTAAATTGTAATGCAGAAAGTGATTTATCATTTTGTCAGATTAAGCTTACTCTGTTTAATATAATATACAAGCGATTAATATAACGATTTTACGCCTTTTTTTTTTAAAAGATGGAAAACTTTCTTATAAATACCACGAATATATCGCCTTATTCAATTAAGAAAAATGGACTTGTTATGATCTCCTCGTGTGCTCTTCAAATTATAAACCAAATTTTCCATAACTTAAAAAGATTCCTGAAAGGATTAAGAATTTAATTACTCGATTAATCCTCTTATCAATAATTCCAATGCACCCTGTATAATTCCAAAAACACGTTCACGCACGGTGGAAACGTACAAAAGACGCGTATAGCCGAATAAATATCGAGCAGTGATTTTCAGATGAGGGCCGATTCGAGAAAGCGGGTTCCGATCGAAAAAGTATTAAGGGGTAAGTCTCTCGCCCCCGTGCCGGGGCGTTTAACTCTCCGATTGCTTTGACAACTTAAGCAGGCCCTTAAACCTTGCTCGAGCCTCGATGTAATTTATAAGCGGCCGAGGGGGTAATTCCGTTGGGGACCGTCAAACTGCCATGTGGCAAAACCCCCGAGGGAAAGTCAGGGATTATACGGTGATAAATAAATATGTACGTTTATGCAACAACCACCGTGACTCGGGGTTAGCGTCAAATTTCGATTCGCCGGGATTCACTAGTGTTACCCTCCGTTAAATAAACAGAAATTAAAGTAGTACGGGTGCTCGGATCTTTGACTTCTGTCCCGAAGCAAATCACAGTTCTATTGATATTGTTGTAAATAGATTGTATATATATGTAACATATTATATATAGTATATGTATAATATATTAATGTAAATAATATAAATAGAGTAAATATAAATAAAAGTATAAATTTTTATTTATAGCGACCAAACGAAAATTGAAATTGTAAATTTTAACATGATGATAAATAAATCGCAATGGAGGGGGTTGATGGGAGGGTTGACGATTCTTACGCATGTGTACTTTTATTACAAGTGGTTAGGTAATCATTACAATATATGTCATGTGACTCAGTATCTAGACTTTTACAGCAAATAGTATCACAACACGAAATATACAAGAAAAGCACAGACGTGTATCTTTTTACAGCTGTCCGAAAGTTTGTATCAGTTATTCAAGTATATTCAAAACCTTATCTTACATATTTCAGTGAGCATAAATAATACGTTAAAAAACTCACGAATAAATTAAATAAAAATTCTTTACTCCAGTGAAAATTTTTGTCATTAGTGTGATTCGTATAAAATTGACTACTTAAAACTGAAAGATAAAACGACTTGGTCAACACGTCGAACCTAATGTTCGATAAACATTTTTATAATAAATAAATATGTGTATATATCTGTATCTTTATGTCAGAACTGAGTATCCCTCGTTTCACTTAGATACCGTTGAACCATTAAACTAAATACTGTACTTATCGATTCGTTACTTTTCTCGAAGGATCCATCGTTACTCGGTCCCGATCTAGTAGAAAGAAATCACTAGACGAGGCGAAGAATTTATTAAAGGGTCATACTTGGGGCTTCGTCCTTAGGCCAAAGCTTTCACACATCGTTCTCGATTATTTAGTCGGCTCAATTGTTTATTCATACCTGTTAGTCTTTTTTTTCAAATCTGTCGTTGAATGAGTACTTTCAACGTCTACGCTGCACTTCAGTTCGCATACTTATATATTCTCGCAAAGAAAAGTCCTTCGTGTTCTTTTATATACTGTATCCGAAGGTACAGGTACTACAAAGGAATCTCGATCAAATCAGCGATACGTTTACTTTGGTGACGATTCGATTACGATGTCGAATACTTCGCGTATTTTTATATTTTTTGACGTTCGAGGTTTTATTTTAATGGAAAAATGTGAACTATGTCACGGAATGGAACGAACACCTTACAGAAATAAAATTATTCTCAATACTATGAAGTCGGTAAAATTTCACTTATCCTGACTTTAACGTGGCACTGTACAAGAATCGATTATTCGAAAATTCTCGTGAAATGTTTCTTTTTTATTGTTCCGGGTGAAATATCGCTGAAGAATGATCTTTAATTTTTATACATGTCGCACAAGACTTTTTCCATTGGAGTGTTGCCGATTGTTCTGTGAAAGTATATCAGTTCCACCCTCGATGCTGGCACTGTCCTCAGCAACGGTAGTAACAGTAATAATCTGCCGAATCTTGCTGGACTTCCTGGTTGCTGCGCCCTAGCGTGTTGGCCTAACATCACTTGCGCTTGATCCTGCAAGTTTTCTATCTGACTGGAATCCTTTAAACCACGGGTTTCTGCAAAAAAAATGAAAATTCCGTTTTGGATTTTGTGTTCTATTATTTTATAATACAATATAAATCTTCGATAAAAAAAATAAGAGGATAAACATGTCAATCAGTAATTATTCAATGATAGTACAGATAAATTAATTGACGAAGAATAATTGAATAATTAGAACTTGATATTTCGTTGTCTGGTACGCGACTACAATTTTCCACGACGATTAATTTTACCACGAACCTGGTCGAAATAGTACTATAGCCTTCATACAGGCAAATTCGGCAGGATCAACCATGACAGCCTTATATCTCTGCAAGGTATCGTGCAAATGCCTCACATCTGCTGCAACTTGACTCGGTTTGCCCGTGGTAGTTTGCATATGGATTCCGGAATGAGGGTGCGGATGCGGCGACAGAGTCAAGGCAGTCAGTTCCGCGGAATTGAAGAGAGGCGACGATTCGAGTGGAAGGCACCACTGTACTGCGTTCAGAAGGAAAAGCTCTGACCAGGCCTCTTCTAAAAGTATCACCTATCACGAGTAGCGTGATTTCAATTATCAAATTTTATAGAATAAAATGGAATTATTTGTATTACCTAAGTTTCAAACTTTTAAAATTCAATCTTAAACTCTGCACATAATCGTCATAAATAAAAATAAAGAAAAACACGGAAAATATAGAAAAGGAAAAGATGACTTTGGTAACTTTCTGGCAATATTTCTTCATAAATTAAGAAATTGAGAAAAATTGAAGTTGATTAATTTGGCTTTTAAGAGGCTCACGTATCGATAAAATGAATAATCAATAATTATTAGAATGGAAAAAATGCTATTTTCTGTGTTCTGATTGGGTTTCAGATGAAAAGTAAGGAAAGAAGTTGAATGTTTCAAGGTACCTGATCTCTGAAAGGCAAACTCGCGAAAGACGGAAGATTCTTGGCCCACTTTACAGCCATGAAAAGCAATCTAGCACTGGTTTCGTAGACCGTTTCAGCACTAGCAGGCGAATACAACGAGGGAATCACAGGCGGAATTTGCGTGCAACCGCTTCTTTGGGGTGTCAATGGTTCCTCATTTGTTACGTCTATACTATCTTCAGATGCATTTCCTGTTGCAGAATATTATGACCCATTGTTAAAGCAAGCATGCATTACTTTCATCAAAATAAAAGGAAAAGAATAAAAAAGTATTTATTGGAAAATCTTTTTCTTATTTATTTAATTAATAAAAAGAGATAAAATGGACGAATACCATCTTCATTATCCTGCCGCGGTGGTGTTGGAGGATTCGTCGAATTTGTTGTCGGTGCAACGGTGGGTAAAGGCAATGGTGTCGTGTATCTCGCCATAGCTAAAGACACAGGTGGTCTGAAAAATCACATTTTACAGAATCCTATTTAGAATCTTGGTCAAATCATTTCTAAAAAGTAATAAATTGATATATATTTAAATTTTATAGTTTTTTCCTACAATTATTTTACCATTCTTCTTTTCCTTTATTTATAATATAAATTATATTTAAAAATTATTTTTTTTCAAATTTCCAATAACGCAAATCTAAATCTACAAAATTTCTATGGAAAACTATTAATTATTTATTTCACCTATTTCGTGTAAAATGAAAATTAATCTAGAATCTCGAATTCGATTGATGCGCTATTAAAGTAACAAGGTTCGACAAATAGCATCGATTGTGTGCACGATCCGCAGCAACTTTAATTTGTTCACTCGCGAGTTTTGTTTGCATACTTTTAGCGTATGCCGCGTAGAAATTTCGTTTCGTCGAATTCGGGTAGGTAGGTGGGTGAATATAGATCGTCCTGTGCCAGAAACACGTGATTTGTATCTTCTGCGAACGGATTCGTTGTTAAAAGTTTCGAGACTAATTTTGAGTCGTAATTGTCGGAAAGGCTGACACATTGCAGATGACGGTGTGTGATAAAATTGCGGTTAATGTACCAACAAGGCAGCAAGAGCGAAAGTGAGTACATTTATATAAAATTTGGGAAATTTATTATATATATGTGTTCAAATATTCTCAATATCATGAATGTTATTTCAAATTAATTTCATTATTTTTGTAATATCATTATTAATGCTTTCTTCAGTTATTGACAACAAAAGAATTTTATTTTTTGTATAAAGATATTCTAACTATTAGTTAACAATAGCTTGAATAATAATTATACAGCCTATTTTATTTTATTAATTTCAATGTCAACGGAATACAGAATTTACTGCCCATCCCTCAATTTTGTCCCTTTGGTGCAATAAACCAAATCAAATAAAAAGAAAAAAATTCTGTATTTTAAATATTCTGCATTTTGTTCACAAAATGTTTCATATTTGATAAATGAAATGCTAAAGTTAGAAATGCTAAAGTGCGCATGAACGACAGAACACAATATGTCACGCGATATGTACAAAAATATTCAAAGCAGATTCTAGATCGTTTCTTTAAACCAGGAACTAGCATCTTTGAACGAAGCGATCACCGCCACCCTGTCACCTACCACGAAGCCCGCAGTTGACCAAGGCAAGGTCAATGCACCGTTTTCCGTGTCATCATCCAAGATGGCGATTCCGAACAGCCGAAACTTCGCCAACTGCTACATGGAACTGTGCAAACAACAACGTCTTCGTCCCTTGCCAGTTATCTGCGTGACACTGCCCCATAGTTTAGATTTCACCACCGATCGCGTCAAAATGGACGACTGGGGTCCTATTTTAAATTCTCTGTCGCTTGATCGTAGTCTACGATCAATTAGTGTTCGCAGCAGGTATCAGTGTCGGAAACCATTGGAAGAAATTAACTCGGAAGACAAGGCTAGAACGATGGGCAAGGCACCTGTCGTATTGTCTCGATATCTCTTAGAATGGTTGTCGCATAGCGTGGCTCAGTGCGTCAGAAACTCGCCGGTTCTAACTAATCTGGAGCTGGAAGGAATCCCTTTTCCGCCAGACTGCTTGGCGGTGCTTTGCGTGGGTCTGTCACACACGCACACGCTCCATTATCTCTCTCTTCAGCGTTGTTACATCGGTGACAGCTCTTGCGAAGTTTTATGTCGCACGGTGGCCGACGTCCCAAGCGTCAGGTCACTGAATCTCAGCTACTGTGACTTAACGTGCAAATGTGGGCCAGCTCTGGCAGCAGCGTTGTGTAGACAAAAGTTGTTGCTCTATCACGATACTTGGAAGCAATCACTCAGGTACCAAGAGCCGAATCTCGAGGCAATGTCTGGGTTACGTCGTTTGACCCTGAACGATAATCCTCAATTGGGCGACGCGGCGGTGATCGAACTGATCGAAGCAGTGAGAGACAGTCTTTGGCTGAAGGCGTTGGACCTGCAGCGCTGTGGATTGACCGATAAGATCGGTAAAGATCTTCTGGAACTACTGGATCATAATAACACTCTGAGTATTCTGGACGTTAGACAAAATGCGAACTTGAACGAGGCACTGATAAAGGAGGTGGTCAAGAGGCTAGAGGAGAATAACGTTGATACGAAGTCTGAATACCGATGGCTGGGTTTACCACAACACGATCGAAGAGTGGTATCAGCAGGCACTGGAAAGAGGAACGAGAATGTGAATCACGGAAAACCTCCGATCAGACCACGTAGCGCTATAACAGAGTATAAGAGGACTTATCAGTCTGCACGGAGAAAGACAGTTAATCTGGTGAATGACGCGAAGAAAACGAAAATGAGACCTCACGTTCCACCGTATAAGAACAGACAGCCACACCATCAAGAGCAACAGCAGATCGTTCAAAATGGTCAGACCAAGTCGAAGATATCTCTCCATTTGGATCTCCAGTCTCACATACAACCTGTGATGGGCGATGCTTGTCAAAACAATGTTCAATCGTACACGGATAGTGTTCAGGCTGATACCGACAGATCCTCTTCGAAGAATTTGGAACTAATAAAGGTCGATGTTGCGACGCAGATGACGGATGATCTAGAGACGGAGGATTCCGTTAGAATTCAGAAGATCCAGATTCAATTAGCTGAAGCAAAGGCTGAACACGATCGTCTTCTCGAAGATACGAGACGAAGCGGGTTATTGCTGGCTGAAGAACGAGGACGACGCGAGGCTGCCGAGGAGCAGTTGAACGAGATGAAGAACAATCTGGCTGAGCTGGAGAACGCTTTGAAAGAGAAGGAACAGGAAACGAGCGGATTTCTGTTGCTTAGCCAGCAGTCTTTTGATGAGATTTGCAGCTCCTTCGATAGATTGCTGAACATGCTGGACAGCGTGACGAAAACTCCGAGCGCTAATAGGAGGGACACGACGGAAGCCGCCATTGTCAAGGCAGATATAAAGAGACGGGTCGCTTCTGTCATCAGGGAAACGAAATCGGAGAATCTGAGGCGAGGATTCATCGTGGACATCGACGAGGACGACTCGGTCAGGTACACGGAGCCGATCAAGAAATTTGCCAAGTCGGAAAGTGACATGAGATCTGCGTTACCACCGATATCGACGTATCATTTGGAAAGGAATATAGGAGATAGTCCAGATATAGGTTCGCCAACCTTACAAAGGGTTCCACGTAACGAAAAGCATGTGATGTCTCCCAGAGCGAGGGCTAGGGCGTTATTCGCCCAAATTATTCAAGGGGACACTGTGCTTGATTTTTACAATCATATGGATTAGCATTTATATAGATTCGAAAATTGGGAGTAAGATTTAAAAACGAGATTGTGTACAGTGTATAGGCGCATAGCTTTTATAGAAATAATATAGGTAGATATACACGTAATGAAGAAAACGCACAAGTACACACGCGTCGAACATCGATTCATAATCTGAATTTGCATAATTAACTATCGGTCTAGTAACTACCGTGGAAAAATGGAACTAAGAAACGAAAGAAGATACAAGAAAAGAAAGATAAAATATTTTATAAATTGATTTCAGCAGAAAATTTGCAGGAAA